CCTCTGCCATTGTATTTCGTACTGCGATTGTAATTACATCGAAGAATTGTAGCGGTGATGGTGGAACAGGAAATACATAGAGATACAATTTGGAAGGTTACGTATGGTGACGTGGTAGACATGACGTCACAGTCAGAATAATGCTTGAAGATTTCTTGCATCTGTCTACAGTCTTTTTGAAAAAGCTGTTATGATGGGTGTAAATCTTATGATGATGATAAAGGAGTCTTGACTACACGTTGCTGGTTTAGAACAGAATGCATAGACTTTGCTGAGTATGATGACGTGGTAGACATGACTTCATTGTATGTAAAAGAGACCCAGCGGTCAAGATTGTCAAACGGTTGGTGAATTTTATGATCTCGTCTGTGGATTAATCTGCCATTAATTTTCATTCCTAGGTAAACTGAATACGGTTCACAGTCACATTACAATCTATTCCTTAACGGTACCCCTGTGTTTCTGAATGAACAGAGACGCATCCGAAAGTATTTATATTGATAACACAAACTACACCGTGAAATTGAACAGAATATCATAAAGGTGTGACTGCCACTTTAAAAGGAACAATCGCTTGCAAACAACATGAATGTCTCCGGGTAAGAGTAAGTATTATACAGTCCTTCTTGTATGCAGGTATATCCATACTGAATCCTCAAAGATAAACTGTTGGAGTAACAACACTGCTAGCCATTACCTATATTTCAACAAGTATATAAACGTCAACGGTATTTGAAGGACAACAATGTCATTGATCATCACACACTCACCTTGTACCTGACTCTACAGTTGTACTGTGAACACTGCACTGGGGTGTACACACAGACGCTGTTACACCAGTGATATGACCTGGTTAGCGTGACATGCAAAATCTCAGATATATGCTCCTCGAGAAAAGTAGGGAAACCTCATTTATATTTTAAGATTGAAAAAATTGGGCGATATATGGGAGTTAATGAATGTTGATATTATAATAATGACTGTTTTGGGACTGTTTCTTATGACAATAGTTGTTCGTACAGTTATCGCTCTTGAAAGATGATTTGTGTATGACGTGAAATTTGCATGTATATGATTTTCATTTTCAAACCAAAAAAGAACCAAAACGGCTAAAAAATGTGATGCAAAATGATTGTGAAAATGATTTTTCGATATTTTTTGAAAACCGTCAAAATAAAAAAATGACACCCCATGCACGTGTATGGAGCTACTGCGTTGTGCACGTGCATCCCATGCGTTGTGTTTAGGCGTGGCGATAAAGCGAAATGGTGGTGCGTTCATAAGATGTCTGTCTTTGACAAGGTATAGGTGAGTTCGGAATGTCTGTTCAATTGAGAACTGAAGGGTTTAAGAGTGAGTGAGTCATTGCGTGCATACGTGAGTGAGTGTTCTATGACAGTATATTACTTTCAACTTTATAGCCCAAAGTCACTCACTCACTCAACCACTCAACCGCCCTACCACTCAACCACTCACTCAACCACTCACCCACTCACTCAACCACTCACCCACTGTTCAGTAATCACTACAGGGTATGTCACGATCAAATGAGGGCATGAGGTTTTATGAACGAATATATATATTACTTGTGTTGGGTCACTAAGAAATGCTTCTGGATCCATATGTGTTGTAGCAAACGACTTAAAGTGTCTGTTTGGCTTGATAACTTGGTTAAAATCATGTCATTCTATCCCCCTCCAAACACTATTGACTGCATGATCGAAGTCCCCCTGAGTTTACTTTACACATACTGTAATCAGACTGACGGCCTTGCTGGATGACTTGCAGATTCTCCACCTGAAGTCAAGGTACAGCTCCGCTCAACTACCTTGTTCATACTAACTCAGTTACCTCTGATTTATGTTATCTGTACAGTTACAAAAGTAGGGAATATTTTCATTTGGGAGTAACCTGAAACGAGGTTGCATGATTGTAGGGGGTTAGAAATTGATTATTCCATTGAAATTATCTTATGAATTTCTTGCAAGCGGTTGGGGTAAATTTTTTGAAACATACAGTGACACGAGTCAGTGTGTTGCACATTACAGTGAAAAATGACCTCCGCATGTTATCCTACGATTAGCGTACGTCACATTACTTAAAGACATCGTTGTTGTTACGGAGTACCTCCAGGAGGAGAACATATCCTCCAGGAAAAGAACATATCTTTCAGGAGGAGAATATAATCTCCAGTAGGAGAACACATCCTCCAGGAGGAGAATATAATCTCCAGTAGGAGAACACATCCTCCAGGAGGAGAATATAATCTCCAGTAGGAGAACATATCCTCTAGGAGGAGAACATAACCTCCAGGAGGAGAACATAACCTCAAGGAGGAGAACATAACCTCCAGGAGGAGAACATATCCTCCAGGAAGAGAACATAACCTCCAGGAGGAGAACATATCCTCCAGGAAGAGAACATAACCTCCAGTAGGAGAACATATCCTCCAGGAGGAGAACGTATCCTCCAGGAGGAGAACATAACCTCCAGGAGGAGAACATAACCTCAAGGAGGAGAACATAACCTCGAGGAGGAGAACATAACCTCCAGGAGGAGAACATAACCTCCAGGAGGAGAACACATCCTCCAGGAAGAGAACATAACCTCCAGGAGGAGAACATATCCTCCAGGAAGAGAACATAACCTCCAGTAGGAGAACATATCCTCCAGTAGGAGAACATAACCTTCAGGAGGAGAACGCATCCTCCAGGAGGAGAACATAACCTCCAGGAGGAGAACATAACCTCCAGGAGGAGAACATAACCTCCAGGAGGAGAACATATCCTCCAGGAAAAGAACATAACCTCCAGGAGGAGAACATATCCTCCAGGAAGAGAACATAACCTCCAGTAGGAGAACATATCCTCCAGGAGGAGAACATATACTCCAGTAGGAGAACACATCCTCCAGTAGGAGAACATAACCTATAGGAGGAGAACACATCCTCCAGTAGGAGAACACATCCTCCAGTAGGAGAACATATCCTCCAGTAGGAGAACACATCCTCCAGTAGGAGAACACATCCTCCAGTAGGAGAACACATCCTCCAGGAGGAGAACATATCCTCCAGTAGGAGAACACATCCTCCAGGAGGAGAACACATCCTCCAGGAGGAGAACATATCCTCCAGTAGGAGAACACATCCTCCAGGAGGAGAACGCATCCTCCAGTAGGAGAACACATCCTCCAGTAGGAGAACATATCCTCCAGTAGGAGAACACATCCTCCAGTAGGAGAACATATCCTCCAGTAGGAGAACACATCCTCCAGTAGGAGAACACATCCTCCAGGAGGAGAACATAACCACCTTACCATAGCCAGCACTTAGTCCAGACTTATCACCCATCGAACATGTCTGGGATATCCTTAGACGGAGTCAACAACCACCCACCACTCTTAATGAACTTGGCGAAGCGCTGCAGGAAGAATGGGATAGAATGAACCAAGTTTACATTGGACGTTTGACGAAAAGTATGTCTCGACGAATCCGAGATTGTCTTGAGAATAGAGGCAGATTCAAACGGTATTTATGATTTTGACTCTTCATGGTAAATATATCGTGATGGACAGGATGTAGGTTTGGCCAATGTCCCTTTTACACTATATTTTTCATGATAAAATGTCAATATTTGTAACACATTTGTATTCAATACCCCCTACGTTTAATGCGTTGTACAATCATGTCTATTTGGTTATAGTCACGATATCCATGCCTGTGGATTTCACCTGTTGTGTAAACGTCTGACACCTGCAAAGCTTTCAAGCCACATCAAGGCAACTGAAATTTCGTACAAATTGACTTTGAAATCAGTTTAAAGTTTATTTGAATGAAATTTCAGTTCACTCTTTTTTAAAAAAAAACCTAGTGTAACCCTGCAATGGGTTTGTTTGTTTGTTTGTTTGTTTATTTATCCCGTAACATGTGTTATATTTGGGATTACACGTTCTTAGTAAACAACAGATTCTTGTACTTTTGTTGGATTGAGTACCATGAGGGATTCGAACCCACACCCTCATAGTTAGGCACCTAATCGCCAGCGCACAAAGACAGCCGCCTAACCCGCTTAGCCACCGCGACTTCCACAAATATGGAAGTCGGACAACTGGTAGCCTAGAGTGCGGACTTTGTGTACCCCTCTGATCAGTGTAAATTGGCACGGCTCCCACGGCCAAAAGCTATTATTACACTATGCCATTTAGAGAGTGGTCAAATGTAACACATGTTATATTTGGGATTACACTTTCTTAGCAAAGTACAGATTCTAGTACTTTTGTTGGGTTGAGTCCCATGCGGAATTCGAACCCACACCCTCAGAGTCAGGTACCTAATCGCCATCACACAAAGTCAGCCGCTAGCCCGCTCAGCCACCGCGACTTCCACAAAAATGGAAGTCGGACAAGTGGATGTTGTCGGCCGCGGGAGCCGTGCCAATTAGAGGGGTACACAGCGTCCACAGTCTAGACTAGCAGTTGTCATATTTCCAATTTTGTGGGAGTCGTGGTGGTTGAGGTCTGTGGACCAACCATCCAGTCATTGACATCATGAACATGTACCCATGTTAAATGGGATACGGTGATGCACCCACACGATCCGTTTCATCGTCTCTTATGACCCAGATCTTCGTGGGTTACTTGGTGTGAAAAATGTTTTCTAAATACGTTTACACCATATCTTTATGTTGTCATATCCAGGCAATGCACCTCTGTAGACCAGCTGACCTACTCGTATAGTCGACTCACGTGTATAGCAGTTGACTTGTAGGAGTAGATAGCAACTGTGCCAGTTGACTAGTCAGTGTAGATATCGTATACATAATTACACTTAACAATGCAAATATGATACGTAAAATCGGGTTACCAATGCAACTACCACACATATGCCAATTGACTTGCCTCAGTCGATAACGTATCTACCAGATCACTTACTTGCCGCAGTATGTAAAATAGATTCAACATGAAACCATGAGGAACAACACAATTATTCCACGAAGTCTGAAAGGTGTATTGGCTGTGGTCGGGTGATTGTGGAAGTGACTGTGATTGGCGGTTAAGCTGTATAAACAGCATCACAATATCTCTGGAGACTTTAGATACAGTTCAAAACAGCTTTAAAAGTTAATGATGTATCAGTATTTTAACTTGGGTCAGATTAGTATGATGCTGTCCTTTCATCCTCTTGTGCAGTACTCCTGCCCCTCCGGTGGGTCTGAAACACAACCATGAATTCATAATTTCCATAGCTGCACTATGGAACATATTGGCATGAACATGCTGCCATGAGGCAGTGTTAAACGTTGTGCAACAATGTTTCAAGGTATACTTTGTACCTGTAGATTCAGTCAGTGAATCTTACTTAGCTATTGCCTTTCATCTCACATCACATCTCGAGTCGCAAGAAGACCAGTATTGTGAGTGGTCACTTTAAACTTTGTTTACTCTCTGCCTGGCCCTTTCTTCCAAGTTGAATTTCTATTGCTGACAGGTCACTATGACCATCATTGTCTTTATTTCTACAATCACTGCTGTTATATTATACCTCTGACTTTGTACTGCCACTCTATTTTGTTCTGCCAAAGTGTGTCATCGTATCCCAGTTGTGTAGATCGATGCTCATCACTGGATTGTCTGGTCCAGACTTGATTATTTACTGGCCGCCGCCATATATTAGAGAGAGTGTGGGCGTAAAACTAAACTCACTCACTCACTCTCCCAAAGTGAAGTCTTTGTATTGATTTGCGACTTTACAATTTAAGAAATACAATGTTTAATTACATCTTTTTGTTTCTCAATTTCACACAATTCTCGTACAGACTGATTCCTGTTAACTATTTTGTTTTAACTTGAGAATCAACAACTACCAATATAAACGAGTCTGTTCCAACCATTCGTGATAATTAAAGAAAATCAACAACATTACTTATCATCGTAAATATTCAACCAAACAAGAGAAGTATCAAGTCACTTCTAAAAATATTCATTTATGTGTACCAGGAACCAATGTACCATTATAGATTTACCTTTAGAAATCATGGGTAGAATCCTGTTGATGAAGACACATTCATGGTGGACTACCCCATGTCCTGCTGCTAATTTGCTGCCCACGTCAAGGGCCATGTAGGAGAGATCAGTGTTGTCAGAGGCTGGCCAGTTCACCTTGACGGGGACAGGAGCGTTTGGATCGCTGGATACACATAAGAAAACATCAAGAAATCATGATTATTTTATACACATTTATCTGTGGTATAATTTAAAGAAGGGTGACTTAGTAAAACGTTTTTATCATTGAATGTATATTTCATTCGCTCATTCAGTCACTCACTCACCCGGACTTGGCAAAGTTGGTCCAGTACGTCATGATGGTCCTGCTGAGTTCCATCTCCTCCTCTGTACATCCCAGAGACTTTTCCAGAACCCAACCAAAAACAAAGTCAAGCTCGTACCAGTGGGGTGCTCCCATCCACTTTGGATACGGACTAATTGACAGTCGATGATTAAAGCTGTAGACATAGGTAGGGTTAGCAGGAGAATATAATCTGTCAAACTCAAGATGAGGACACTTAAATCCCCTGTCTGAAGTTGCACGAGTTACGACCTCTAAATAGTCCGTGTCCTTTAGAAGGGGTATCTGACTTTCATAAAACAGACGAATAGGCTCTTCAATGTCTGTTCCAGTGAGCATGTCAAATGAAATAAAATTATCATATTCTTGACGACTTAAAATGAGTGATTCAGGTAATGTTGATACGTTTCTCATCTGCTTCAATATCATTGCAGAAAACAGTGCTGTCTCATCTTTAGTAAAACCATGCAATACACTGGTCTGCTTGATGGAGCCAGTGGACAGAAGAATTTTGGGGTCATCGGGAGGAAGTACCCATCCACAACTGGACGAAATGCAATTCCTTCACCGAACAAACCTAGCTGAAGGTCTGCCATAGTTTGTGCATCTACTGTCTTCAAGCACTCATATATCTCTGCATCAGTTGAAGATGAAGGGCACTCAAGGTGATCAGCAAGTCTCTTCAGTGTCCGTATTGCTGTTTTGGGCATGTGGTCTGCAAATAGGGAGATGAGAGTCCCACTCTGCATTATTGCTCTGTCAAACAGGTCACGTGACAGCGGTGATGCCAGGTGTAGACCTACACTTGCACCACCAGCACTTTCTCCAAATATGGTCACCCGTTTTGGATCTCCACCAAAGTTAGCAATATTGTCTTTCACCCACTGTAAGGCTAATCTTTGATCCACCAAGCCCATGTTGCCAGGGATGGTATCTCGACCAAGGTAGCTGAACCCTAAAGGCCTTAATCTGTAATTCATTGAAACAACGATGACTCCATTCTCTGCTGCAATGTATTTTCCTTCATACAGTGGCAGTCTTGTAGATCCAATATAAAAACCTCCACCGTGGATCCACACCATCACTGCCAGATTGCCAGCATTGTCTGATGGTGTCCACACTGTAAGATGAAGACAGTCTTCACTGTAATCATCGGGCATCTGTTTGTAACTTTCATCACTGCCATGAGCATTTTTTGGTTGGAAGCAAGATGACGTCGGTTTTTGTGCATCTCTAACTTCCGGTCCCCATGACTCTGAAGGTTGAGGGTGCTTGAATCGGAGATCACCTACAGGAGGCTTGGCATATGGGATTCCATAGAATACGTCAAGGGACTTGCCCAACACTGACAGACGTTGTCCTAGAAGAGGCCATTTAGTGTTGACACTTTCTGTGTTTTTGCAACATGCAACTCAAGCAACAACGTCACAAGCGTCGCAAATGCAAGTTTCATTCCTGTCCACATTCTGAAAAGAAAACACACAACTTTTTTTAAGATACATTAACAGATAAACTTTTGTTGCTTTTTCAATTCATGTTCTTAGATAATCACAGAATCAGTGTTATATGTTGTAGTTGTTTCTAATAATTGTCACTTGAGGACAGTGGAGTGAACCATTCTCTGACCTTCATCACCCTGATATTTCACACAGTTTAGATGACCGTCGCTGACTATATATTGCTGACTTTGTAGCTATCTCAGCCACTCTACTCTGTTCTTCCATAGCAGCTGCACTGCATCTGTGAAGATCCAGGTTAGAATTGGTCTTCAGCAGCGTAAGATGCGCCTAACGGATCAGAGGGTCAGGCTTGCTTACTTGCTTGCTGGTATCCCATTTGCGCATGATGTTAACACAGGAATGTTTGCTTCAGACTCGATTATTTACAGAAATCTTGCTAAAATATTGCTGAGTGCGGCGTTAAACAACATACAAACAATTGCTCTGCAGTAATTTGTTTTAATTTGTAAGTATAATTTTAAACAGGCTTAGTAAACTTAGACTCAGTATTATTTGTTACACTGCTACACTGAGTCTAACAAAACCTAGTAAAAGGTCGCGTCAGCTAACCTTTTGGACTGACAAATCAGAACACAGCTCACCAAATCACGAAAGTTAACATTCGCACATACCGTTTGAACCTCAAAAACTCGAACGATTCCGAATGCTATTTTCCGACGATCGCTTCAGAGTGATACAAACAGTGAGTAAACAGTCGCAGATAACAGCGTTTTTGTCAATATTCAAGGATGTCATCTTGCGAAAATATGAGCAAATAGTAACCATGTCATTAGAAACCCATAAGCGTATATACAGCAGTTAAAAATATATCTGTGCTTTATGCGGATTTTCGTTTGTTGATAGATCAGTGTCAGCGGTGGTATCCGGACAAGTTATTTATTTAAGGAGTAAGAGGATTATGAGGCATGGTTGACTGGGTTTGTTTGTTTAACTAATCCCACACGGCCTTCACTAGTAGAGGGAATGATTTTTGGTTCAGTTATTACATGGCTGTTCTCCATACATCTCCATGTTCTCCATACATCTCCATGTTCTCCATACATCTCCATGTTCTCCATACATCTCCATGTTCCCCATACATCTCCATGTATCTAGAACAGCAATAAATAACAATGTTGTTTTACTGTAAGGTATATAAGGTGCCATGTTATGACAAGTGTTCACTTTATCCCATGATGGCAAATGCTTTGGTGAACGTTCAGTTTGTTCCAAATGGTCGAGGTGGTAGACATTTAGTGTATCAGGGATATAAGTTTCGAATTATGACTAGCAAGCGTGATACAACACATTGGAGATGTTGGTATCCTTCTTGTTGAGCAACGATTAACACCAGGGACGACTTGGTCACAAGCTACAGAGACCATTTCCTTGTCGTCCTCAAGGATACAGTGAGAACAGACCACAGGCCATTTACACAAGTGACACAAGTAGTCTATCATTTGTATTTTTGTGTTCGCATACCTAAATTGATAAATTACTAAGCACAATCATACGTAACACATAACATACATAACTGTACACAATGTTTATCATTATGTAACTGCGTAAATATAAGAAATTGATGAGGTACTAATCACAATCATACATCATCAATGTCCACAATGATGGTTCATACACAATTGACTTTAAAGCCCAACAAGATGAGAAACAGCATCTCCATATTCTAACATGGTCTTAGTTCCTGCTTGAAGATGGTCTTTTTCTGTCTGTAGTCTATCGTTAAGTTCTCTGTATTTTCGTTTTCTGGGTCATTTATGTATGCTGAACATAAAAATACAAATGATAGCCCTCTTTCTTGGCTTGGTCATCTCCTCAGTCATCCCCCATCATTGTCTTGCTAATTAACATGGTCTGGTGATCCTCTTAATCCCTAAATAAACAACTTGCCCGACTGGCAAAAGAGGAACACCCCGTGTCAGCGACCAGGGAAGAGAAAGTACCAAAAGCGTTTTGTAAGTCCCGCCGAACCCTAACAAGTAGTCGTTGTCTGATTGGTTAAGTCCGTTCGGCCGTCTCGCGTTTGATTGAACGGTCATAGGTCGCCCAAACGTGACCTTCTACTAGACTCAGTAGGGTGTTTTAAGTGTGAAATGGAGACTACAAAATAAGACGAAATGTTGTCATTGATACGTCTAGTTTGGAAATTTCCTGACATGTATTAAAAATTCTTTTGAAAGCTACAATGAGTGTTTGAATGTTGACTCTAAAACATTAAATTTGCAGTATGATAGCTGACGCTAAGATATATGTACTGTATACATTGGATTTGTTTGTCAGGCATTACGCCTGAAATATTTGCTACAAATAATGCATACACATGTATTATCGTCAACAATTTTCACATTTAAATTACCCAAATTTAAACCCTAAGGCAAGTTAAGAACCCGGTTAATGGACGCGCCCTCTATTTCCATTCCTGGGCTTCCTCTGCAGTTCATACTGCCAGTGAGGCGCGATACCGTTCACAGTCACATCGCCCTCCTCACTGGTATCCATTCATTACTGACTGCACTAATGTACATCCGACCATCTTGTCCTTACTGGTACCTATTCATTACTGAATGCTCTTATGTACATCCGACCATCTTGTCCTTACTGGTACCCATTCATTACTGAATGCACTAATGTACATCCGACCATCTTGTCCTTACTGGTACCCATTCATTACTGAATGCACTAATGTACATCCGACCATCTTGTCCTTACTGGTACCCATTTCAGAGGAACGTTCGGCCAGGTAACGAACACAGACAATTGAAGTAAATTCGCGGGAATATGTAGTTCTCTGAACGAGAGTTGGCTGTTTACTGGCCTATTTGTATGCAACCATATTCGGATCAGCTGTTATAGTCCAGAGTAGAAACACTGTCATCCGTTATTCATGTCGGACAACCTTATGCTTTAGTAGTATTTCCTGTACAACTGAATGTCGTTGTTTTATCACACATGGAAGACACTGCAGTACTATTTCCTGTACAACTGAAATGTCGTTGTTTTATCACACAGGGAGGACACTGCAGTACTATTTCCTGTACAACTGAATGTCGTTGTTTTATCACACAGGGAGGGCACTGCAGTAGTATTATAGACACGTGTGTAAACAGCATGAATGTTGGTGACTGGCAATCCTATTTGGATTTATTTTATTTATTTTTTATTATTATTATTTTATTTTTTATTCAGATCCCTCGGTTAGTGAAGGGTATTGAACGGCGCATTTGTATGAAAGCATATGCAGCCTTAGACTAACGTTTAGTCCCTGAATACATATAACTTTGATAGTAGCAAATAAACCCATTTAAATTGAAAAGGAGCCCCAGGGAGACCAGAGATTCAGGCTGAACCTGAGGAAATCTTGACTTGCTTCATTTAGGGCTTCAGCATTGCAGGGAGGGCTAAGCATTGGGGAAAATAATGTGGTTCAGGGACTGTGAGACAGACTAATGCAGCCTCTGCTCTCAAAGATAAACTCTTGTCGTCTGTAGTCACACCACCAAAACAGCATTGTCTATATTTCGGGCTATTGTATGCTTCAGTGGTATTTCGTGATCAACAGAATGTTATTTTCGTGACACACTTATCTTGCACCTGACTTGATGAGTGTTCTCTGGATAGTGCAAAAAGTGTGTACACGTTGAGGCGCTGTTCACCGGTGATATCTCACACGATGACCTGATTTCCGTGACATGTACAGTTATGGTTTTGCACTGACTCCTAAATCGGGGGCAGGTGAGTTAATATGAACTTGGTTGTTGGGCGAAGCTTCAGGTGGAGAATCTGCAAGTCATCCAGCGAGACCGCCAGCCTGATTACGACATGTGTAAAGTAGACTCAGGGGGACTTTGGCCATGGAATGAGTGAGTGAGTAAGTGAGTGAGTGAGTTTGAGTGAGTGAGTGAGAGTGAGTGAGTGGGTTTGAGTCAGTGGTATACTGAAATACACTTTTCAAACAAGAGGTTTTGAAACAAGTTTTCAGTATGTACAGGTTATATTGAGAAACCAGCAGAGGTTTTGTTATCATTTGAATAGCTTAATCCAAATCAAAAGAGAAATATATTTGACTGACCATTCTGACCTTGACCTCCCAGCATATCGCAATACAGTTCACAATACAGGCATTCCATAACAGCCTCTTTCACACTTAACAGTGAGTGAGTGGGTTTGAGTGAGTGAGTGAGTGAGTGAGTGAGCCGGTGGATGGATGTGTGGGTCAGGGAGTGAGAGGGTGAAGCAATGAGTGAGTGAGTGAGTGAGCCAGTGGATGGATGTGTGGGTCAGTGAGTGAGTGTGTGAGGCAATGAGTGAGTGAGTGAGCCGGTGGATGGATGTGTGGGTCAGTGAGTGAGTGGGTGAGGCAATGAGTGAGTGAGTGAGTGAGTGAGCCAGTGGATGGATGTGTGGGTCAGTGAGTGAGTGGGTGAGGCAATGAGTGAGTGAGTGAGTGAGCCGGTGGATGGATGTGTGGGTCAGTGAGTGAGTGGGTGAGGCAATGAGTGAGTGAGTGAGTGAGCCGGTGGATGGATGTGTGGGTCAGTGAGTGAGTGGGTGAGGCAATGAGTGAGTGAGTGAGTGAGCCGGTGGATGGATGGGTGGGTGAGTGAGTGAGGTTTGATTGTTTTGTATTTGTGTATTTACATCACAGGAGGGAAGGCCAGAGTGCTGCAGGTGTATAATAAAGCCTCTATTACAAACCTCACACTCACTTTATGATGTTCACAACCAGGGAGATTCCTGAAGCATTGAAATACGACATTTTAACACCCCCACCCACCCCCCACCCCCCTTTTTGTGTTGCTAAAAAATGAAACTACAAACATTCAAAGGAGAAGTTGTTGCTAAGTTGACACCAGAGGTCAGTGTGTAGATCTCCCATTAAGTGCTTTATCTGCATCAAAAGGTAATATCGACCGCCTCCAAGGTGTAGTGATTAGAGCGTCCGCGCGGAGAGCGGAAGGTCGCGGGTTCGATCCCCGACCGCGTCATACCAAAAGACGTTAAAATATGGTACTTGTTGGTCCCTGCCTGGCGCTCGGCATTAATGGGTACAACAAGGACTGGTCGGCTCGGAGTCAGTATAATGTGTCTGAGTGGGGTATTCCTGCTTCACTGCGGCATGGTATCTCAGTGGGCTAGCACTATAAAACCAGCTTCAGTCTGGGCTAGTACAAGCAGCCGCACATACACATACACACGCATGCACGTCGTCATATGAGCGAAATATGCTCAAGTACGACGTTAAACACAAGTTCACCTCACCTCACCTCAAAGGTAACATCATACACGTCTTGACGTTGACTGTCCACCAACCCTTAAGGGGATCACCAGGAAAGATGGACGAATGTTAGAAAGCATCACTGACAATCTGACAATAGAGGAAATCTCTATTTTGAAATGTGTTTCTCAGATTTTCAGAATATCGTGCATTGTCACGTCATGTGGATGTCTATTGGTTCTTTGACTTCAACTTCCTTTTGGCAGCTGGTTATGAACGAGGTAAGAATGGTAGTAGGCATCACCATGCTGGCAGTCGTCACAATGTGTTCCTTGGGTTCCTTGGGTTCCTTGGGTTCCTTGGGTACTTTGGGTACTTTGGGTTCCTTGGTTATCTTGGGTTCCTTGGGTACTTTGGGTTCCTTGGTTATCTTGGGTTCCTTGGTTATCTTGGGTACCTTGGGTACCTTGGGTTCCTTGGGTTCCTTGGGTTCCTTGGGTTCCTTGGGTACTTTGGGTTCCTTGGTTATCTTGGGTTCCTTGGGTTCCTTGGGTATCTTGGGTTCCTTGGGTACTTTGGGTTCCTATTGTACCTTGGGTTCCTTGGGTACCTTGGGTTCCTTGGGTACCTTGGGTTCCTTGGGTTCCTTGGGTACTTTGGGTTCCTTGGGTACTTTGGGTTCCTTGTGTACTTTGGGTTCCTTGGTTATCTTGGGTACCTTGGGTACCTTGGGTTCCTTGGGTTCCTTGGGTAATTTGGGGTCCTTGGGTACTTTGGGGTCCTTGGTTTGGGTCTTGGGTTCCTTGGGTTCCTTGGGTATCTTGGGTTCCTTGGGTTCCTTTGATTTCTTTGGGTTCCTATTGTACCTTGGGTTCCTTGGGTATCTTGGGTTCCTTGGGTATCTTGGGTTCCTTGGGTTCCTTGGGTTCCTGTTCAGTATATATTGTGAATTGCAACGTGATGTGTGTGTTTGTTAGGTTCTTGGCCTTGCAGGACACAGCATGCTTAAATAGATTAAATACTGAACAACAGAACATAGGCCAAATATTTATTCAATGACGTCATTGACAGATCTATGTGGCAGCAAGCCATATAACTAATAAACATCAAAACAACATTAAACCTGAATTTTAATCGTGTATTTATATTTTATACTCAGGTCCGATTATTAAGATGTTGTCATCCTTTGGTGCAGTAGTCCTGCCCTTCCGGTGGGTCTGAAACACAACAATATGATTCATAACTTCCCTGGCTGCTCCAGCAACACTACAGCAAGACAGACACGAGTGGGCGTGTTCTTAACTGGTTGGCAAACAAAACGTGATGTGGGTTCCAGACATTCACAGCTTTATGAAATCAGGGAGCTGGATACGCGTAAGAAAAGCAAATAATTAAATCTGGGAGAACTCCTGAACGCAATTGGCAATATTTGAAGTCTTCCTCGTTACACATGTTCTATGGTTGTTTTCCATATACATTACGTCACTGTATAGCACCTGATACGCTGGGTATTCTTTGTGTCTGCAATTGCCTTTGGTTAAAACCACAGCCATTATTGATGTGGGGTAATACGCATTTTCCATGATTTCGCATTAAGAAGTCATTGTCAAACCATGACCAAGGAGGAGGCACATATTTTACTGGTGTTTGGAAAATCGTATGGAAGCCAAGAGACTTGACTTGGAATGGAAAGACAAAACTATGCTTCCTTTGACATATCGATCTGTTTTTGAGTGTTTTAGACACAGCTACATTCAAATATGTGTAATTGCAACAAGCGACATCCCATCATAACAACACATTACCTTTAGAAATCATGGGTAGAATCCTGTTGATGAAGACACATTCGTGGTGGACTACCCCGTGTCCCGCTGCTAAGTTGCTGCCCACGTCAAGAGCCATGTAGGAGAGATCAGTGTTGTCAGAGGTTGGCCAGTTCACCTTGACGGGGACAGGAGTGTTAGGGTTGCTGTATAAAGATATGAAAGCTTCAAGAAAACAATACAAATCGATCTGTTTGGAAATGGGAATCAATTTTTATCTGAGGTGAAATTGTTTGAACATGTAAAAAGAACAATATAAGACCGAGTGAGGAATCTCTCACTCACTCGCTCATCTGTTCCGAGACTATTAACCTGCGTAATTCCATGACTCGATTTTTCACTTACTCTGTCCAACTCACACTATCACTCGCCACTCACTCACACTCTCAATTGCACTCTATTACTCACCCTGACTTGGCAAAGTTGGTCCAATAGGTCATGATGGTCCTGCTGAGTTCCATCTCCTCCTCTGTACATCCCAGAGACTTTTCCAGGACCAAACCAAACACAAACTCAACATCATACCAATGGGTTGCTCCTATCCACTTTGGATACGGACTAACTGATAGTCGGTGATTAAAACTGTACACGTAGGTAGGGTTGGCAGGAGAGTACAATCTGTCAAACTCAAGATGAGGACACTTGAAATCCCTATCTGACATCATGCGAGTCATGACATCCAAATAGTGAGTGTCCCTAAGACGGGATGTTTGACTTTCATAAAACAGGCGAAGAGGCTCTTCAAATCCTTTACCACCTATTCTATCATAGGAAAGAAAACTTTCATACTCTGTGCGGCTTAAAATCAATGTTTCCGGTAATGAAGATATGTTTCTCATCTGCTTCAAAGCAACTGCTATAGACAATGTTAACTCGTCTTTAGTAAAACCATGCATTACACTAGCCTGCTTGTTGGAACCGGTGGTCAGAAGAGTTTGGGGGTCATTGGGGAGGAAGTGCCCATCCACAACTGGACCAAATGCAAGTCCTTCATCTAACAAATCACTAAGCTGAAGGTCTGCCATAGTTTGAGCATCTGCTTTCTTTACACAGTCATAGATCTCTGCATCAGTTGAAGATGACGGGCATCCAAGGAGATCAGCAAACTGCTTCAATTTCCGTTTTGCTGTGTGTGTGGAAAGTGTAAGCCCATGGGAAATTCGGGGATCCGCTCTGCATGATGGCTCTCTGAAATAAGTCACGTGACAATGGTGACACCAGGTGGTGTCCTACGCTGACACCACCAGCACTTTCTCCAAATATTGTCACCCGAGATGGATCTCCACCAAAGTTGGCAATGTTGTCTTTCACCCACTGTAAGGCAAGTCGTTGATCCATCAAGCCCATGTTTCCAGGGATGGTATCTGGCCCCAGATAGCTGAACCCTAATGGCCCCAGTCTGTAATTCATTGAAACAACGATGATGTCATTCTCTGCTGCCAGATATTTTCCTTCATATAGTGGCATTCGTGAAGATCCAAAATAGAAACCTCCCCCGTAGATCCAGACCATCACTGCCAGATTGCCAGCATTGTCTGATGGCGCCCACACTGTAAGATGAAGGCAGTCTTCACTGGTATCATCCGGGACCTGTCTGTAAACCTCTGGAGATGTGAATACATCTTCAGGTTGAATGCAAGATGGCGTTGGTTTCTGTGCATCTCTAACATCCGGTCCCCATGACTCTGAAGGTTGGGGGTGCTTGAAGCGGAGATCACCTACAGGAGGCTTGGCATATGGGATTCCATAGAATACGTCAAGGGACTTGCCCAACAGTGACAGACGTTGTCCAAGAAGTGGGCCATCTTCAGTTGACACTTTCTGTGTTTTTGCAATATGCAAGACCGCCACCAGCGTAACAAGCGCAATTTTCATTGCTGCTGCCATTCTGAAAGAATATAACTAAACAAGTTCATTTACTTTCTTTTGTGATAATAATAAGTACAAGTCAAAATGTTGTTATATTTGTGTGCTGGCGGGGAAACAATGTTATTATTGCATCAAACTGTTTCCGAAAATATTGTCCAAAGGGTAATGGTGTCTCGCATTCTGTGCACATCATCGTTAGACCCTGGCTAATCAGGAAGCGTGTATTTTGTAAACTTGTCCACTGTTGCTGATGAGGTAATGTTATTTATCACTGACTTTACTGCTATGTCTGCCGTGATATATATCCATCGTACTGCCACTCTATTGTGTACATCCATTGCAGTATTTATTTGGAAGCCTAGTTCAACACAATTCCAAACTTAACATATATAACACATTGATATATCTTTGTTTTGTTTTTGGTGGTCTCACCATAAATTCCATCGCGTACAGATTTGTGGGTTAACTTGGAATCAAGACAAAAAATAGACATCATTAATGTCACTGACGTGTCTCTCTCTCTCTCTCTGTCTATCTCTCTCTCTCTCTCTCTCTCTCTCTATCACACACACAAAACACACACACACACACACACACACACACACACACACACACACACACACACACACACACACACACACACACACACACACTGAGTACAAGTGCCTGAAATATTTGCGCCTGTTATTTACAGTATTTCTCACACTTGTAATGACCCAAATCCAAACCCTGATACATGGCTATGGCAATGAATCAATGTGCCCCCGAGGCATTGAATGGTGTAATCTTGACTGTAGTACGTCTGAGCAAGAGCCGCATGTGGAAGAGGTAGGTGACAGACTTTCCTATTTGTTTGTATTTATATAGAGCCTCAATTCTCAAAGATAAACTGCTTTGGCCAAGAGGAATATCACTGTCAGTCATTAGCTATTATTCGGACAATGGTATACGTCAATGTTAAAACAGAATGTAATATTTCAACACCCACTCACCTTGCGCCTGACTCTACAGCTGTACTCTGAACACTGCTGTAGGGTGTACACACAGACATGCTGCTAAACGGGTGTTATCTGATAAGATCACCTGGTTTGCGTGACATATATTATTACAAAAAGCGTAAGTTTATGCTTCAGGATGACAACAAAAGAGCGCAAATCGCTCGTATTGTTACGGAGTACCTCCAGGAGAGCATAACCACCTTACAATGATCAGCACTCTATCCATGTCTTGGATATCAACCGACGGCCATTCTTAACGAACATGGCGCTGCCATGCAGGAAGAATTTGGATGGCTTGAACCAAGTTAACACTGGACGTTTGGTGATGAGTACACCGTCGAATCAGGGATTGCCTTGAGAATAGAGGCTGATTCACGTAATATTAATTATTTTGACTTTTCATGCAAAATGTCCTGATGGACAGCAGGACGCTTTGACCACATCTTACACTGTTTAAGCTACTGATCTTATTAATGATATAAACTATCAATATCTGTGACACCTGTTTATTGAAGATACCGTATTTGTATTGAATATTATGCTATGGCCAACTATTGTTGTTCATACTTTGGATTACATCACTTGGAGTTCCCTTTCGGTCCATATGCTAGTTGTAGAAAGGGACCTGAAGCTTTGGCTTGATGGTGTTGAGTGGCAGTGATGTCCATTGTGTAACAATGTTCCAAGTGTATAAGACTGCAGAGCAGAGAGTCAGCGGTTAGACTGACATTGACTGTATATAGACGTGCGCTATATTTAGAGTTCTTGAAGGTAGTACAGAGTACTACCACCCAATGGACCTTTCTGGACCAGGCAATCCAGTGATCAACGGCATGAGCATCAATCTACGCAACTGGCATACGATTCAGTGGACATTACATATCCATTGATATGCTAGAATAGACTTAACATGCAACAGGGAAGAACAGAATGCGGACCTTGTGTTTATTCCATGCCGTTATTGATGGGTATATATGCGTGATTGTGATTGGTGGCTGTTCAGTAGAGAAGGCGTCACAATATCTATAAAGAATGTTGACCATATGTTTTTTTTCATGCCGTTATTGACAAATAATAATAATGTATTTATATAACGTCTAATATCCACCGTAGAGATGTTCAGTGGCATTGTGGCAATATTGGGGAAGGAAATAGTTCAGAAACTTTTACAGAAAGGCAGCTGCAGCAGTGAATTAAAACATAATTAAAACACAATTATCACTTATTCATGACATATAATATACATTGCTGGTTATGAAAAAACATATAAACAAAATTATAAGCGTACAATCGCAAATCAAAAGTGCAATATTGTGTACTTGGGTTTACTCCCCAAGAAACGAAGCAGCCGGGATACCGAACCCAGTCAGAGCAGGTGGGTGTGCACTCAAGTGTAACGGCTGGTTCATTTGCAGATGCCCTCACGGCTCATTGTGTGTGTATATATAGAGATGTTGGGTTTTGTAAATACATGCTCATTTTTTGTGCATAACATTTTACAATCAACAGACATCATAACATGTCATGTGTTCAAGTATCACACCTGCCGGTCTGTGTAATTACATAATGTGACAGAGACCGAACTCGGGCGATAAATCAATGCATTTTGTTTATGGTGTATAGCCTGATTGGTGTTAAGTTCAAATTCCATGTGGTCAGTGATAGCAGCTGTGTATTGAATATTGTCATTAGCAGACAGGCAGGCAGACACATAGGTGTCAATAAAACAAGACATTGAGTTTTGTCTGTGACAACGACATATCTATATCACAGTTAGAAATTCTGTCAACGCTAAATAATGACATTGCTTTCAAGTATCGAACTGAGAAAGTGACTCGGTAAGAAGAACGTGTGGTGAAATAGACAAATGAAATTATATAAACAGTTAATTTACTGTCATAACATATAAAAAAGCTCGCGCCTGTGAGATATCAACAAAACATTAGAAAAATAGCTCACACCAAAGCCTTCACCGAGTATTAACCGGACAACCCGCTTCCAAGCTGCGCGAACCTATTTCACTGCGCACGTGCTTTGAGCGCAGCCCGGCCGTTGAAACCAGTTTTTCCCCGAAAAGTCGGGGGAAAATTAATGAAACGTTTGAACTCCGATTTCGCGCGGTTTTTTTCATCGCGTTATTTTTCAACTTTATAAGTTGAATTTGCATTTTTGACGATTTGTTTCGGTAAGTCCATACCGAAAGGTATCAGAATCTGCAAAGTTGTGTTTTACGTTGCATGTGACCTTTAAGCAAAGACTCGTCACGCCGAAGACCGGGTTCGAATCCCCACATGGGTACAATGTGTGAAGCCCATTTCTGGTGTCCCCCGCCGTGATGTTGCTGGAATATTGCTAAAAGCGGCGTAAAACCAAACTCAGTCAGTCAGTCAGTTTAAGCAAAGATTTAAAAGTTTCTTTCAATGATGTGTTCCTGATTTCCTTTGGAAGAGAGTTCCACAGTTCAGGGCTGGCAAAGGAGAAGGCTCGGTCAGACAGTTGCTTTGGAGATCTGTGTTGGGTTAGGAGAGAGTCAGAGGAGGATCGGAGACGAGATGTTTGAGATAGTCGGGAAAGTTATCGTTGTAGAGGCAGTCATGAGTCAGAATGAGGATTTTGAAGGTAATTGTTGCAGAGATGGGGAGCCAGTGTAGAGACTGTAGCACTGGTGTGATATGGTCATGACGAGGAGTTTGGGTGATGCATCTGGCAGCAGAATTTTGGATTCTTTATTAGTTTCTGGAGTGATGTCGTGGAGAGGTTGGCATATAGTGAATTACAGTAGTCGAGTATACACGTGACAGGACAGTCCATCAGGAGTTTACAGGTGTCAGTATCGAGGTAGTGGCGGACTTTGCTGATATTGTGGATGTTGTAGTAGCAGGCTCTACTGATGGAGGCGATGTGTTGTCTTGCCAGAATAGATTACACATGTACCGATTGATTTATGCGAGTGAATAATGTGTGATGTACTTGGTTTCACAGTAAGGTATGTAGCTGTTCACTAGTCCATTAAGACAGCGTTTATACCAGTTGACCTGTCTGACTAGATACAAATATACCAGATGATCAGTGAGCGTAGGTATTGGGTATACCAGTTCATATATCCATGAAGAAAAGTGAACATGTACTACCCGATTAATCTGTGGCTGTACCGCTTGTACCATTGTTGGCTTGTCTGAGTAAATGGTTTATGCCAGTTGAATGTATATATAATATCTCTAAATATATAAAGTCTACGGTAGTTGACTTGCTGGATAACACATGTACCAAGTGACTTGTCCGAGCAGATAGTTTACATACCAGTTGACTTCTCTGAGTATATAATGTCTACGGTAGTTGACTTGCTGGATAACACATGTACCAAGTGACTTGTCCGAGCAGATAGTTTACACACCAGTTGACTTCTCTGAGTATATAATGTCTACGGTAGTTGACTTGCTGGATAACACTTGTACCAAGTGACTTGTCCGAGCAGATAGTTTACACACCAGTTGACTTCTCTGAGTATATAATGTCTACGGTAGTTGAGTTGCTGGATAACACATGTACCAAGTGACTTGTCCGAGCAGATAGTTCACACACCAGTTGACTTCTCTGAGTATATGTCTACGGTAGTTGAGTTGCTTGATAACACAGGTACCAAGTGACTTGTCCGAGCAGATAGTTCACACACCAGTTGACTTCTCTGAGTATATGTCTACGGTAGTTGACTTGCTGGATAACACAGGTACCAAGTGACTTGTCCGAGCAGATAGTTCACACACCAGTTGACTTCTCTGAGTATATAATGTCTACGGTAGTTGAGTTGCTGGATAACACATGTACCAAGTGACTTGTCCGAGCAGATAGTTTACATAACAGTTAACTTCTCTGAGTATATGTCTACGGTAGTTGAGTTGCTGGATAACACAGGTACCAAGTGACTTGTCCGAGCAGATAGTTTACATAACAGTTAACTTCTCTGAGTATATGTCTACGGTAGTTGAGTTGCTGGATAACTCAGGTACC